TTTTATTGTTGGACAGTTACAGTAAAATCTCTTGCAATCACCATTCCATCTTGATGAAACACTGGTACAGCCATGAAGGATGGAATGTCTTTGGTAATTCTTCCATTTTACTTCACTTGCGGCCTCTCTAGCTCTTCCCGGTCGAGCAATGAATACTGAGTAAAACAAACCTAAAAGTCATGGTTCGAGATTTTAAAATTGAAATTCTGCTATTGAAGTGTAAGCCAAGATGCAAATCTGACTTAGCACACATGAGTCAACTTGATCAGAACACTGACATGGTCTGCATTTGCGTTTGAAATGCACTACACCAGTTTATAGAAGCTGCAGATCCTCTACCGATTTGAGGTCAGGAATGTGGAATGTGGAGTCAGATCTCGCAACTCTGGATGCCTGCACTTCTACCTAAAATCTATTCCTAATTAATTTAGATGAGTTTCTTGATCTCGTCGTAGAAGACCAACACAAGAGCACCACCAGTGCCTCGGAGGACGTTGGAGAAGGCACCCTTGAAGAAGGCACCAGTACCCTCATTCTTGGCGATCTTGGCCCAGCAGTCGAGGGTGCCAGTGTACATGATATCAGCCTTCTTACGGCCAGCCTGCATCATCATGCGCCTACGCACGGTGTCGAAGGGATAAGAGGCAATACCAGCAACAGTGGTGACAGTCTGAGCAATGGCCCATGAGACCAGGAAGGGTGTGGTCTTAGGGTTGGGCAGCATGCCCTTGGCAGTGTCGAAGAAGCCGAAGTAGGCGGCACGGTAGATAATGATACCCTGGACTGACACACCGAATCCACGGTACATGCCAATAAGGCCATCAGACTTGAAGGTCTTCTTCAGGCAGTCAGCAAGACCGTTGAACTGTCTGCCATCACCCTTGCCGATGTCGGCGGCAAGACGTGTTCGGGCGAAGTCGAGAGGGTAGACAATGCAAAGGGAAGAGGCACCAGCAGCACCACCGGAGGCCAAGTTACCGGCAAAGTAACGCCAGAACTGGGTGTTCTTGTCTACACCACCGAGGAAAATCTGCTTGTAGATATCCTTGAAGGCAAAGTTAAGAGCCTGGGTGGGGAAGTATCTGATGACGTTGGCAAGGTTACCACGCCAGAAGCTGGCGAATCCCTGTTCCTTGGGGATACGCACAAAGCAGTCGACAATGCCTTTGTACTGCTTGTCGGCGGCAATCTGGGTGGATGCTGCCTGAACCTGCAGGAGCAGCTTCACACGCTCGATGGGAGCGACGGCGGTTTTTGACACAGCGGCAGAGATGCCACCGGCCATGAAATCCTTGAAAAAGCTCAGAGCGTCAGTGTTAGCCATCTTGACCGTTTG